ATTCACTTTTATCAGCCTTCGTTTAGGAAAATACAAAAACATTGTAATGCATGATTACAATTGCATGAAAACTGTTAACTGTCCAAATAACCTCGATTTTTCTGACTATTGATTCTTTATTAAAGTTTACCAATATTTTTAAAAGCATTCCATATTGCGTTAAACCATTCCATGGTGCATAATAAAGAGTTAGTTCAATTTCAATAAAATATCAAAAATTGTAATAAAAAAATGTACTGCGGTTAACTTAAATCGAGCTTATGCGTATTTTGTAATACTTGTTTATTTTACATGCATTATATTTTATATATTGCATGACTAGTAAATTATTTTTATTTCACATATTTAAAATCTCATTATATCATTATAACTATAATTTTCATTTACAGAAAATAGTTGTCCTGCAGATACTGATGGACCAGAAGGTGTATCAAATAGCAAATCATTATTATTTACATTTTATTTTATTATTATATAATATGATCTATGGTTTTCAGAATTTGGACTACCCAGAGAATAAATTGAATATCATCATACATTAGGCCAATGTTTTTAATTTGTTTTACTCTTGCAGAATTTTGCTCTTTCAAGAATTATTCATTGATACTTTTTTTTTACAAATCTTGTATGCACAAATATCCTCGATTATGTAGCTAATTGATACTTTATTTAAATTGTGGATTAATTAAATAGGTAAAGTTGAGATCAATCATACCACGACCAATGATTTATAAATAACAAAACTTGTTTATTTTTTTTATATGTTGCATTTCACTACATATATTATAAATTATACATTGCATGATACATTATTAATATTAGCTTAATATTCCAGTTACCCAAGCAAGTCATCGAAATTAACATGAAGCTGATGAAGCAGAGGAAACAACAACATTAAATAAGATTATATTTTTCGTCTGTTAGTTATTCATTACAATTTTTAGCATTATTGTTAGTACCATTCGAGCAAAATATATTTAATTGCCTTATATATCCTATACATTTCAGTGCTGCATCCCCCTGCCATTGCAAGCTGAGTAGGTATAGAGCTGCATCTTATTATATGTAAAATACTTCTTCATTGCAGTAGCAACTATATTATCCATATAAATGTATTTCATTATGTCATATTTTAATGTTCTGATATATTTCATTTCTCCATTGCATATATTTTCATTATATAAATAAATACTGGGTTGGGTATCAGGGTATCATTCAAACTGAAACTGGACGATGGTATGATTGACAGCCGGAGTCTAGGAGGGAATAAACACTATCATTTTCTTTATCCTACCGATTCGATTGTGGTGGTGTGAATTCTACTCCAACAGTTTCAGGGCGATTGACGCGCCCTTCTTAACAAACCATCCAGTAGGAAGCTTAATAAGTATTGCGAATTGTGTTATTCGATTTGTTGGAGCGTATCGTTGGAAGGAGATTCTTAAATTCCCGTGGATTTCGCGTAAGTGTCTCTGCTTACGGGTCCACCCTTCCGTTTTTGGCCCTTCATACAGCGATATAGTGAATTCAGATCGGTAGCTCAAATTGATCTTGCTATTAAGTGGAGCTGCATACAAGACAAGTCTTGAAAGGATGGTGGCTACCTTACATACATACATACATACTCCGGATAATCGAGTCCGCCCTGTACCAGTATAGAAATGAATGAGCTATCGAATACAATATTTTACGAAAATCATGCGACTAAAACAGATACAGAAGCAGAAATAACAAATGAAATCACATATGAAAATTAATACAATGGGGATAGTCACAACCGATGATAATCTGTGTCAGCTCCATGCGTCGCTCGAGCGCCATCTTCCGTCTAGCAATCCGCTTCCGTTGAAGTTTGAGGATTTTTTGCTGATTTTCCTCCTCAAGTTCGTCCAACCGGTTTCTTCCTTCGAAGTCTCGAAGTTCTCTCAACGCACGAACTCGTGTTGACTCCGCCGACGGTACACTGGCACTTTTCCGGAGCACACTTTTTCCAATTCGGCTACTCTTCAGTACTGATTCGGTGGGATTAACACGCGCGGGTAGACTTGAATGACGATTTAACGATTTCATAAGATCGTTTAAGAATCTAGTGTGGTCTTCTGACTTTTCTGTTTGCACATCTAGTTCTTCATCGTTTGAACTTTCCTGTTTCTGTTCTGATGTTTTATTTTTGTTGCCATCATCTTCATCTTGTGCTACTGCCCTACTAATGCGACCTTTAGTCGAAGGTATGTTCTTACTCGGGAGGCGACCCCGGCGTAGTGGTTAACTTCCATACCTCTCACGCCAAAGTCACGAGTTCAAGTCTCACCCCCGGACAAGTCACGAATGACCCAAGAGTGTTAAAGTGACTATAATAATAATAATAATAATAAAAAAAAAATTGTTCTTCTGTTCTTGACCTATTTCCCGCTACTTTCGGTCTGACTTCCTGGATGATAGATCACCATCGGATGAATCCGAGTTTGACCTGGTACACCCAACGACTGCCAGATCGATCTATCCTCATTGACACAAGTCGAGCAGAACCGGACCACCTCCGCAACAGATTCGTCGACACCAACGCACTCGAAGAAGTACCATTATTGGCACCTTTTGCACTGTACGCTAGCATCGTAGTCACAGCACGGGTATCTGTAGGTCTCCATTGATAAATTTTGAGGATGTTCTCACTCCTCCGGTGCGAATGAAAAACGATTTTTAAAAGTAGGTCTTTTGACGGACAAACTCAACTAAAATATATTCAAAATTAACGAACTAATCACAATAAACAAACTCACAATCGACAACTTACAATTTAGTTTTTCAACGCCTACTGCAACTCCTCAATGCAAATCTCGGCGGGTTTTTTTTCCTTTGGTTTGTTTTTTCCGTCGATCTTGTTTTCCGTGCTGAGCACCAATGCTACCGACGTGCCAGGAAGGCAGCTCCTACACCTGGACCCTACCTATCGACCCATCAACTCATGAACCGGGGACCAACGGCTTTACTTCCCATCCGAAGGAAGGCGTGATCAGAGATGTTATGCCTCAGAACATCCCGGCGGCGCCGACTGGGATTGAACCCAGGCCTTCTGGGGTGAGAGGTAATCACGCTTACCACTACACCACCGGCGCCGTTAATCTCGGCGGGTTCAGCGAGGTCCTATCAATTAATTAAATAAAAGACACTGAACAACATGTCACCTTTACATAATATTTAACTTACTGTAATTGAACAGTAATACACTAAATACAAACATATCTGCTTCCTGCGGTACTACAGTGGCGAACAATCTACGATTTCACAATATTCAAATACGAGACGAAGTTGGTTTAAAACCTCTATAATAAACAAAAAAAAAAAAACAATATTCAAAAAGCTACAAATAAACTATTAAACTACAAATTACACAACTTACTAGGTACAATAATCGGCACAAAACATAATTTGCAACAACAAAAACACATCTATCGCGATGGAGTCTATATTTTCTTCTTTCCAGGCCAGCTGCTGGGGTAAACAAAACAAAATAGTGCGCAAGCGATGGCCGTGTTCAGCGTATCCCACTCACTATCGCACCTTTGTGTGTATACATTCATGTATGTGCCTCACTGCTACAGCGACGGCAAGAAACGTAAAAAACGAACGCAAACGGTAGTTATTTTACCACAACCCTTTCAGGTCTGACTGCAACGGCAACAGTCAGTATGTTGAATCATCAGTTTTTGTCCAGTTAAACGCATTAAGAACCTTGAGCAACACGCCAAGTTTCCTCGCTCAGCAAACCAGAACAAATCCTTGAATTCATCATGAATTTCAGTCGCGATAACGTCACCTTTACTTCATCACGATGTAACAGCTTTATGACCCCACCTTACGATTCAGTCCTTAGGCGTCAGTCAGCCAGACACTAGATTATACGACTAACCAGGAATATACTTCACGTTGTTGACTTCAATCGGAGCACTGTTCGGGAAACATTCAGCTTCAAGCTACGCCTTCCGCCACAATGTTTATTATGGCATGGTCAGCGGCAAGAGCGGCATCTTTACTGCCCTGTGCGGCATGACAGTCAGTTATATATTGGAATCGATTGTTCCATAACTTCACAATGAACAGGAAAAGTTTCCTACTTTGGTCAGAAAATGACGCGAAAAATACCAAAACTTCCCTAGGGAACGGCAACGGCATTTTCCTTAGCTTGCTGTTTTCACAAATGGGACATCTATACTGAAAAGGGCAGTATAGCAGTTCGTTCGTTGAATAATAATTTTAACAAATGTAAGACAAAACTAGCATTTCGGTCCTTTGTCTTCTTTCGGTTGCTCGATATTCTTCGCTTCAGTTCTTCTTCCTTGCTTGTGTTTGCTTGGGAACGTCTTCCTCTCAACGAACGCTGTATTCTCATGACTTGAGTGTTGTTCGTGTATAAGGGTCGTGTTTATACTGTCAGTTTTTTTTCAGGAGTCCAACTCGCCGTGTAATCCCGTTGTCTTCAAACGCCGCTTCCAGCTGCGCCCAGACTTCCCTAGCAGACTTAGCCTCCTTCACATGAGGTGGATCCAGCAAGAGGATAGAGTTTGCGAAAACAAACTGTGGACCCTTAAAAAAATCCAATAAATATACAATGAATTTCATTGTCATTGCAACCATGATATTTATTGTCAATTCATTTGAGATTTTTGCTGTTTACCATAAAATCATAACGGAATTCATGGTTCACAACAATGAAAATCATGGTATTTAAGAAATTTACAGCCAAAAGCGGGGTTGTGAAGCATCTTAGCAATAAAAATCGAACGAATTTCATCTCATCACAATAATTTTCATTGTTTGAGCATTGTATCGTTGAAAATCTAAAATTTATTTATCTCCGTACAATAATTAAACAATAGATTTTAATGTACCTAAAATTCATGAGTAAAAATCGTTGTAATTTTATTATTTTATTAAAATTATTTTTTCGGGGAAACCAGCGGGATATTAACGAGAGATTTATTATAAACTTATTTGCTTACCATAGAGCACTGGTACTGGGGAATGTGACAAGTTATCAATAAACCTGAAAATAAAAATAAATAAAAAGATTCACTTATTAGTTATAGTTATTTATATATTCTAGCTGAATGTGCCCGGATTTGCTCGGGATTCAAGATTAGGTTGAGTTCATGCACCGATTTAAAAAACCTCCTGTTGTCCGTCACAATCAATACGAAATATGCTGGTAAGATTAAGCGATAAATTAAATTATATTATATTTATTTATATATTTATTTCATCAAGCAAAGTAGACTACGGACAATGGTTACAATGTTTTACTTACATACTATGTGTTGGTTCTGGCGACACTGAGTGAGATTGTTATTTCTCACCAGAAATCTGGTGCTAGCGGGCGCACTTTTAGCCCAGTTTTTCTTGCCCTTTTGGCAACCGGGTCCACCCAGCTGTTTGCAAATGAGCCAAAAAAAAGAGCCAACACACCCGACCGAGACGTCGTCATCGTCGTCGTCATTAGCCAGTCAGTATGCCTTTGTATCAGCTTGCGTGAAGAACAGTCGAGAAATATAGTTTGCTAAAACTGAGAGTGAACGTTTATTTTGTGCTGCTGCCCACTGATAAGCCCTTGGTGCGACGAGAAAAAAAAACTTCAACACAACGTAGGGTAAGCGCACCAACATAATTTTTGGTGCCGTGACCAGGATTCCGTCCGGACCACGTGCTGAGTGTGCTGCTGGGCGCCGCCATCTTCTGAACCAGCACAAAAAAGGTATTCATCCTGCTTGCTGCTTTGTTCCGGTTGGCTATTGTGGCATTGTTGCTGACATCAAAGCACCACTTGTTGTACCCAATCACGAGCACAATTGGACCATTGTGCACCGTGGCGTCCCTAACCATTGTGTAGTGCTGTATTCTGCTGCTATCCCGTCGTGGCATCATCTGCTGTGACAATTATTGTGAACGGCAATTTCTGCCTGTGGCCATCCACGCCGTGGCAATACGTGCTGTGCTGCTTTTACGATTTGCTGGTACTAGAGGTCATCGAACCCGACCGTAACTTGTTCCTGTTGGCAGAATTTGAATACAAGGCACCGTACCTGCCTTGGACAAGGTGAGTACCTGTCCAAGTTTTCTATCGTACCCTCCGTGGGTCTACTTGTTGTTCTTTGTGCGCCGGTTGTTCGCCGAGTGTGTGTGGTCCTGAGACATCGATCCACTGAACAGGATGGTGGAAACCCAGACGACAGCCGAGCTGCTGGCACGACGTGAGACGCTGCTTTCTTCGTTGGGTCGGGCAGAAGCTTTCGTCGCCGCGTTTGATGCTCAGCGAGACCAAGAACAGGTGCCATTACGGCTCGAGTACCTGGACAGCGTGTGGAACAACCTGGAAGCGGTTCAGGCGCAGCTTGAGTTCAACGAGACGACGGATGAAGGTAGGGCAGAGCATGCTTCTGTTCGTGCGGGTTTTGAACCTCGGCTGTTCCAAATAAAAGCCAGTCTCCTTTCAAAACTGCCTCCGCCTCCCATTATTCAAGAACGTAGCCCTCAACCCCCTCAAGTGTCTTCCACTCTCTCTGGGATCAAGTTGCCAACGATTTATTTACCCGAGTTTGACGGGGATTATATGCAATGGCTTGCGATACGATACGTTTTTGGCACTCATGCACTCAAATCCAGATTTACCGGTCATCCAAAAGTTTCATTATCTACGGGCAGCTGTCAGGGGTGAAGCTACTCAATTGATCGAGTCGATTGGCAACAGCTCCGCTAATTACGCTTTGGCTTGGCAGACTCTGGAGAACCGGTACTCAAACGATTACTTGTTGAAGAAGCGACATCTGCAAGCACTCTTCGACATCTCGCGCATGAAGAAGGAGTCCGCGACGGCGTTACATGGATTGGTGGACGAGTTCGAGCGGCACACGAAGACTTTGCGTCAACTGGGAGAGCCAACCAATACATGGGGCGCTATTCTGGATCATCTTCTGTGTACAAGGCTGCACGACGACTCTCTGAAGGCGTGGGAGGACCATGCGTCAAATGTAGCGAACCCGGATTATGCTTGCCTCATCGATTTCCTGCAACGGAGAACGCGAGTGCTGGAATCTATCTCTGTGAATCACCCCACAGCCGAATCTGCTTCAAGTTCCAGTGGTCATTCTTATCTGCCGAGAAAAAACCATATCCATTCTCAACTTCGCCTTGCTTCTTATGCATCAACTACGAGTTCAGGGGAAAAATGCATCGTATGCAGCCAGTCACATTCCGTGACGAAGTGCGTCAAATTCAATCAACTTCCACCGAGTGAACGCCAGCAGCTTGTGAGCTCAAAACGGCTGAATGGAAAATTCCGGAGGATTTGTTCATGGCAGATCCATCGTTCAACGAAAGTCAACCGATAGACATAGTTCTAGGTGCCAGGCATTTCTACTCCTTCTTCCCCAGCTCCGAACGCATTCAGCTTGACAGAAACCTTCCACTTCTGGTCAACAGCGTCTTCGGTTGGATTGTAGCTGGTTCGGCGAACGCTAGCTCAGTCACACAGACATCAGCATCATCAATCTCGTGCAATGCGGTCGAGGTTTCGATGACTTCGCTGGAGGACATCATGGAGCGATTTTGGAAGAGTGAAGAGTTGAAAACCACGGACAACTACTCAGTGGAAGAACGGCACTGTGAATCCCTGTATCACTCTACCGTGTCACGAAATTCTGATCATCGATACATATTTCGGTATCCCCGAAAGCCCGATTTCGATGTGATGCTCGGAGACTCCCGAGACAACGCCCATCGGCGGTTCGAGTACCTAGAAAGACGCTTGGAACGGAACCCTCAATTAAAAGAAGAATACCACCAGTTCATCAAGGAGTACCTCTCCCTCGGCCACATGCGGTTGGTCGAAGCGGACGACGAAAATGCTCCCGCTTACTATCTCCCCCACCACCCCGTAATTAAGGAAGCAAGTACAACGACCAAGGTCCGGGTCGTGTTTGACGCCTCAGCGAAAACTTCTACCGGCTTCTCCCTCAATGAAGCTCTTTGGACGCTCTTCTGGACATTATTCTGCGGTTTCGTACTTTTCTGATCGCTCTAGTCGCTGACAGATACTTGTCCATCCGGACGACACATCGTTCCAGCGTATCCTGTAGCGGTTCTCCAAGTTATCTCCAGTCCAAGTTTACGAATTACTGACCGTTACGTATGGTTTGGGCCCGTCATCCTACTTAGCGACACGTACTCTCCAGCAACTAGCAGAAGCTGGTACTCTCCAGCAACTAGCAGAAGCTGAAGGCGTTGCATACCCGAACGGTGCCCCCAGCGTTGAAGAAGAATTTTTACGTTGACGACTTCATCGGTGGTGCCCAATCTGTCGAAGAAGCGATCCGTCTACGTACAGAGCTCGGCGAACTGCTGAAAAAAGGTGGATTTGAACTGCGGAAATGAACTTCAAATCGGCTTGAGGTGCTTCAAGGTCTCAACGACGAACAGGTTGTTACGCAATCCGTACTCCACTTCAACCCCGATGAATCCATCAAGGCGCTGGGAATTATCTGGGAACCTGAAGCTGATCTTCTCCGTTTTGATTCCCAGATTCGAATCAGTGATGAGCCTCCAACGAAGCGGTTCATCCTTTCCGATACCGCCAAACTTTTCGACCCTCTTGGACTCATCGCACCGGTAGTCGTTCGAGCGAAGATCATCATCCAGGAACTATGGCTGCTCTCCTGCGATTGGGATGACCCTGTACCAGAACCTGTCAAGTCAAAATGGGGAACATATCAGCAAGAACTGTCGAAGATCTCTGAGCACCGTGTTGACAGATATGCTTTCCTTCCTGATTCCGTAATCCAGCTGCACACCTTCGCAGATGCATCCCAGACCGCTTACGGTGCATGCACGTACGCCCGCTGTGAAGACAGTCAAGGACGAGTGAGGATCCAACTCCTGGCGTCGAAATCCCGTGTAGCACCGTTGAAACGAATCACGATTGCCCGGTTGGAACTGTGTGCAGCTGTGATAGCAGCGCATGTACATGCTCGCATCAAGAAGGCCATTGACGTCAACGTTTCTGCATCCTTCTTCTGGTCGGACTCCGCAGTAACACTACAATGGCTACGATCACCCCCAAACGTTTGGCCGACCTACGTGGCCAACAGAGTTTCGGAAATCCAGCAGTACACGCAAGGTTGTCAGTTGAAGCATGTCCCTGCCGACTTGGTCTCACGTGGCATGTCAGTCGACGATTTCCTGAAGAGCGAATTGTGGTGTCGTGGTCCTAATTGGCTATCGCATTCACCGCAAAACTGGCCAATTTCTACCCCCCCCCCCCCAGGAGTACCAGAGGAAGAGTTGGAAATAAAAACTACCGTTGCTGTTACCCAAGTTTTTTTTTTTTTTTTTTTTTCTTTATTTTAGAGATTTTTAGCCTGAGGCTAGTTCATCTCTTAAGTTGTTACCCAAGTGTCATCGACTGTCCACCCATGGTTCCTGCGCTGGTCCTCCTACAGTCGTCTGCTTCACGTCGTCGGATACTGCATTCGCTTCGTCGCTAACGTCCGTTCAAAAACCCGCACACAGCCTTCACCATCAACTGTTCCCGTCAGTCAAGCACTCACCGTAGCAGAAATCAACAAAGCCAAAATGTATCTCACCCGGTTAGCCCAGGAGGATGGATATGCTGCGGAAATCAAACAGCTGAAGAAGGAGAAAATCGTATCAAAACAGTCGCACATACGCAACATGAGCCCGTTTTTCGGTCCAGAGGGAGTGTTGAGAGTGGGAGGTCGTCTTGATTTTGCTCTATTGCCTTACCAATCCAAGCACCCCGCCTTGATTCCCACCAATCATCCGTTCACCCGCTTAATTGTCGAGCATTTCCACCGCAAACTGCTTCAAACGGCGGGCGCCTGCTGTTGACTGCTATTCGAGAGGAATTCTGGCCACCAAGGGGTCGTAGGCTAGTACATAGTACAGTAAGAAGTTGCTTCCGTTGTACTCGATTCAATCCCGTACTTTCCCAGCAGCAGATTGGACAACTACCTGCACAACGAGTCATTGCGAGTC